GTGGGCCAAATTCGGCCCACCGTAGCTATTTATGTGACCCTCTAGACTCTTGGGGGTCACATAAATTAAACTTTAAGATAGCAAATATTATTTTTCAGTCAAATCAAACCTTTTTTCATTTGTATAGCACCAAATTAAAGCAATGCAAAGAGGCGATAAGAATATTTTAAGTAAACTTGAAATGTTATACGTAGTTTTATTATTACTGCCACCACCAGACCTTTGAGGACATTCATAATCTTCATGCTGCCTGAAATGCTGACTGATAACTTAACAGATGTTTTACATTATCAAACTTATATCAATGTGTTATTTTTTTAAGGGGGAAAAAAAAAAAAAAAAAAATCAAATCAACCTGATGTGAGAAAGTAATTTTCATAACATGTGATATTCCTCTGGTAGGGTATATGTTGGCATGGTTTTGGGCTGGAGCTTTTGATGCATCTCTGGGCCCTGGGGCCTCTTAATCTCACAGAGAGGTTTAGGAGGAATGGTGGTGTTGCTGTTTCTGTGGTATTGGCCCAAGAGAGCTGTTACTGGGTTGGACTTTGTCTTGTTGCTTGGCTATGTAGTGAAGAATGCAGTTTCAAACTGCAAGTGTCGTACTTTCTGTTTATCTAAGGGCCTGAAGAATTCCTGCCTCTGGTTCATGATAGGCACGGCACATTTATTTTAGTTACTGACACATGACAGTTGTCCACCAGAGAAAAGGAAATTATTAGAAAGTGTTTTTTCTATACAACTGTGGAGAATGGATGAAAAATGTGAAGCTCTATGCCATCACATCAATGAAGATGGACAAACATTAAAGGGGGCATTGACAGGCTGACAGCTTTGTGAAGCAGAAAGAATCAGTTCAGATATCTGGATGCTCATCTGTGATTTTTCAGGTTTTTTTCTGCTCTTTTCATCCATTTTACCCTGCTGGCATCATAATATTTATTTGTTACAGAGGACACCAAAACAGCTAAAAAGTTCCAAGTCAAAGCTGTGCTGTGTTCAGTTCTTTATGGAATTCTAATTTAAATCTCCTTACATGAAGTGATAAACCTGCAATAAAAAATTCTGACGTTCCCTTAGTTCTCTTTCATACAGTCATACAATTTGACCTTGGTGTGTTAAACTTGTGTTAAACTACCAGTAATAGAGGAGGTGTGATATTCCTTCCTCCCAGCTGGCCTGGTGATAACTTCCCCAAGGTTTTTTTTTTTTTTTTTTTGACTTTATATTGTTCACATCTAGGGCCAAAAAGCCTGTTAATTCTGCTTTATGACCAAAATGGAGAACTCTAATTTTCAATTTTCATGATCACTTCATTCTGTAAAAGCCTGTAAAACACATCTCATGTAAGAAGTGAGACTTTCATTGGAAACTTTTCTCTTGAGTAAAAACATTACTTGTAAAAATAGCACTTTTTGACGTATATTTCCACTGTGCCAGATGATGTGGAATATCGAACATCCCAGGCTGTCACCGTGCTCTAATAAAGCTATTTTCTAACAGATTTCTGCTGTTCTTGCTGTTTTGTCACACTAAAATGCTTTAATTCATTATACAGTACAACAGTCATCAAATTATTTAGATTTACAAGGAAAAGAAACCAAACTATCCCCTCGTGAATAAGTAACTGCTCCCAAATTTAATGAAGGGTTGTGCCAACCCAGTTTGTTGAGTCTTTTACAGCCACTGTGGAGGAATTTTGACATTCTCTTTTCTCTTTTGTTTTTTACTGTATTGTTTATAAAGCCTAAATCCTGTTCCAACCATCCCACAGTATGTCAAATGAATTTCAGTTAGAACTTTGACTAGACTCTAGGGCTCGATATTTTCCTTTGTACTTCTATACGGGTTCTTTTTGACCTATAATCCAAAATAAGTCAGTATTCGCGATAATGTCATGATTTGATAAGGGAGTGGTTTGATGATATAAAACATTAAGGTGTGCGACAGTCAGAATCTATAAGGGCCAATTAATTTTCCAGAGGACTGTATTCCCATGCACGGCTGAAAAAAGCCTTGCTTTGTTAGAATGTCTGTTTTTTTTTTTTTCAAGGTTATTTTAACAGCGCCTGGTGTTGATGATTTCACTGCTGCCAAGTTAGAGACTGCCTGTAGGCGTCAGCTTTAGGACCCGCACTGACGTCTAGTCTAACACAGCAAAAAATACCCTGAGCCATCACGGTTGTTTGTGATAATGTAAGAGTTTATTAAATAGCTTTTCCTCCACATTATCAGATGGATATCAATTCTTTGACCTAAAATTGCTTTCTTCATGCACATTAAATGAGCCCAGTTGGAACAGAAAGGCTCATTTATACCATAATGAATGTCTTACTGAAATTGAATGGCACTGATTTTTGCTGATTATGCTTTTGCCTGGAAAATGTTTCTCTGCTTCACTTTCTGAGCCAATAGCTGTCAGTATAATTCACATGAGTCAGGTGAATTAGGAGCAAAAAAAAAAGAGGGCTTATGTTCTCTATTTTGTACTAAAAGAAGTGTGGGAGAGGACAATGCTGTGCTGCATGCAGACACGATTTATCAATTGTCAGTGGGTGTGTGAACAGTTGGGTTTAAGAACAGATTTCAGGGTTGGACGCTTGGTGGAAGTTTGGAGATTTACAAGAAACAGCAGGATACTATAACAGGACCAGGCCACGTATTTGGACTTTTATAGCAGTGCACAGTCAGTTTTGACCTGGAGGCAGTAATCTCAATCAACATTACTGCTACCTTTTCCAGTACTGTCTGCAGGTTATGATTCTTTCCTTTCCTCCATGTTTCTTTGCAGAACTACTATTATTTGGATTTTTTTTCCCAACATTTTTTTACTGTTCTGTCTTAATAAATGAAATCAGAACTTAATAAAAATGATTGTGATATAATTGCTCATCAATAAGACCAATAAAAAGAATATTAATGTCAAAACTTTGCATTACGGTGAAGTTATGACCTGCACATTCTTCAGAGTGATGTATCCAGGCACAATAAAGGAAAGTTTGGTTGAATGAGAATGTACCATAAAAAAAGGAGCATGACTACATGGAGAAAAAAGCATAGTGTATGTTAAACAGTTCGATATTCCTGTGGTGTTCTAGTACCATATTCAGGTTTTTGGAAGAAACTGGATTTTATTTTTTGTTTTTCTTTTTATTAGCTGCACATCAATCTACTAAAAACAATTAAAAAATGCTTCCTATCACTTTAAGAGTAATAATCTATTTAATATTTGAGTTTCACTTATTGAACATAATTGAAATAGCTTCACTTTCTGATTATATTGTAATATGGCCACATAAAGTTGATAACTGGCCAATTGTCTGAATAGAAACTGTTAATAATGCATCAAAATGCGAAGAATAATGAATAAATCACAATACATTAATTTTAAAGTGTGTGGTTATGAAGCTGGCTAATCTTTCCAAAGTGTCAGCTTCAGGTCACTCTAATTTAAAAATTGTCTGTCGAGCACACCTGTACTTTTGGTTGTGGTCAATATTTCTGCTGCTTGAAATAATTTGCTCAATGCATATTCAATGAACTTTTAATCTATATTTTTAATTAATTATATCATAACTGATAAAGTTAACTGATCAGTGGCAAGTTTGAATAGAAACAGTCTAACCATCAAAGTATAAGGGAGCTGGATGGCTTCTCTGACTTTCACACAAATCTAAATAACTTCTTCAGTTCAGAACATGGCTATTATTTCAGTTATTTACATTTCAATTCGATCGTACAAGTAAATTAAGTTGAAAATGGAAACTGGAAAAAAAAAAAAACATTATCTAAGAAAGGCATGTATATCACACCGAGCTATTGCCCTTGCAGCAATCTCATATTTAGCAGCACAGGAATGGAATAACTCCTTAATTTTGGAGCATTTACTGACTATACCATTTATGCTGCCTTGCCTTATTTTGTTTTTGTTTGTTATAATTTGTTTTCTCTCTTCCAGTATGTTCCATCCAGATGTCTGAATGATAAATTTTTTTCTGAACATGAACTACACTTTCAGTCCAATTTTGCGTTTTGTTTTTTAAACCACAACCAAACACGTTGAGTTTAGATTATAGTGTTCAAAAACACATTTCCTTTACAAACAGCAGCACAACTTATTCATTTAAATACCAAAAGCACAAAACATTTCCTTCTGTGCTCTGTAAAAAGTTGATGACATTTTGAAAGAACAGTCTAAACAAGCAGAGGAAAACACCTCAGATGTTTGCACTCTATGGCTGCAATCTTTCACTAGCTTTAAGATATAATTTGAACTTCACAGCTTCACTTTTCCCGCTGCAGAACAATACACTCTCCAGGAACAATTTTTCCATCCCAACTCTGTTGGATGTGGAACTGCCTTTACGAGTCTTGTATTACAGTAAATACAGGTTGATTTATTTCTCATTTGTTTCTGGAACTGTTAATAGATTCTTATTTAGCCAGAGTGGAATCAGATGAAAAAATACATCCTGCTAACATTGCCAGGGGGCATATTTGACTTTTCTGAAGCCCTGGAAAGTTGCACTTTTTTGAATTTACTTTGTTGTTGTTGACTGAGCCTTAATAAAATTACAAGAAAGAGGACTGTTCACTGATCTGTGTAAAGCAAATGGCTAAAAGTCTCAAGTGAACTCTAAAGGCTTGAAGTAATGGTTTCATTCTGTTTCGGTTTCTCTGTGAATTTGTGGCAATAACAGGGTTTTATTTGTTCATTCTTGCTGGAGAAAAACGTGTTTGAAACTCAGTCAAGCAACTTGCATGAAACAATATACAAATTCAGAGTAATCACCAGTCTCAATGAAAGAAGACAGTGTGAAGACAATGACTAATGAGATTATTTAGTGGCTCAGAAGTTACATTTTCATCCCTCTACTCCCTTGCTTTTCAAGTCGCATTTGTCACACACTGAGCTGATATGACTATTTCCACATTTAGCCCAGCATGACTTGGCCCTTGAATGTTGTCTTGGAAACTAATGAGTGGTCGTCTGCCCACAGGAACCATGGTGGTGCAAGTGGCAGCCACAGATGCAGATGACCCGACGTACGGGAACAGTGCCCGGGTGGTCTACAGCATCATCCACGGGCAGCCGTACTTCTCAGTGGAGCCCAAGACAGGTAGGTGTAATTTCATCCCACCTTCTTACAGTCAGCACACACAATTACTGCAAATGTCAGACTGCGTGGATATCTCTGTGTTTGTGAAGTAGGCTCGGTGAAGAAAGTGCTGTAATAATAAAGAACACAAATCTACTGTTGGATTCCTTTACGGTCATTTATCCACTTTTTGCAACCTGGTCCTTTAGTAAGGCCAAATAAAGTACATTTCAACAAATTGGAAGGTCAATTGAAAATGCTACACAAGCTATACTTTGTTCTGTTGTTTCCATTTTGATTTTTAGAGAAACTAACCTCTAGACTGTTGAGCATTATTACCAATCATTACAGGCCCATAACAGTGACTCATTTCTGATTACTGCCAGGTCTATAAAAGTAGAACCTGTCTGACAACATAAAAATATTAAAATATATATTTTTTAGGGCCCTTTTGAAGTTATTTATGTCATTTGTGTATTTAATAAGGGGAGGGGACACACCATCAGGTGACCCTTTGATTGATTACTATTATTTTTCTGTATAAGCCCTCACTGCTTGTGTCCCACACTTTAAAGCCCAACTTCAAAGATTTCCATTTCTGCTTCACATTCACACAAGGATTAATGGACAGCTATGTGTCCACTTATTGATCTTGCCATCTTATATTGAATGCTGATATGTGTTATGGATGTTATGTATCCTGGAATTGTTTTTGTGATTATTGTCTTTATATGAAATACATTACTACCAAAACAAAAACAAAGTATGAGCATCATCAGATTTTGCTTTTACCCTTTTTGTTTCAATAGTTTTCATAACATCAGTGTCCCCATACACCGATTGCTTTTGTGTCTTAATTTATCTTCAGACATTATAATGCACCACAAACAATGAATTAAATGCCAACTGTGGAAGCATAAACCTTACCCTGCAGTCAGATATTGAACATCTGTAGATGTAGCTGAATAGTAACACATTGTAGTACTTACAATAACAGCTGTGAGGGGGGGGGGGGGGGGATTATACACTTGCACAGCTTTGAATTAGCTATTTAATGTAAAATCAGGCTTTTGTCTGATGTTGTATTTTGACTGAAAAATTAAGATGTTATTTAAATAATTTAAGTACTGCAGAGACCTTGAAAAATTTTTTATGCTTTCATCATTGTTTATAAAAAAAACTCATTGATCAATATCTTGTTTTTCAATATCTTGTCTACTTAAATAAAATAAAGTTCAATCAGTTACTTTCAGAGGCCAAATACTTTCATTAATTGAGTCTATTTGATTGTAATTTAATCTCAGTATGAATGCAACCTCAATTGTTAGAGAACATTAATGAATAAATAGCATCATGAAGACAAAAGAAAAGAGCAGACAGGAGAAAGTTGTCGAGAAATTTAAGGCTGGTTTTAAATAAATCTCATATTGATAATTTGAAAATTTTAAGAGCGTGTTGAAATTCCAGACCTACCGAGACACAGGCTTCCATCCAAACTGACAAGCTAGGCAATGAAAGCATTAATCAGAGCAGCAGCCAAGGGGCCCATTTAAACTCTGGAGGACTCAGGTTTGAGGATCTATGGGCAAGAAAACCATTAGTTGTGCACTCTAATATTTGGTCCTCTGTGCGAGAGTGGCAAGAAGAAAGCCATAGTAGATAGGAAGGCCTAAAGAAGCATGTTTGCAGTTTGCCACAATCCATTTAGACGACACAGCAAACACTTGAAAGTAGATGGCCAGATCTGATGAAGCCAAAATTGAACCTCTTTTGATTAAATGCCAAGCAGTACGTGTGTTCAAGATGTATAAAACACAATATTGCATAATGGTGATGGAATCATGCATCAGAAAGGCCCAATTTTGATAGTTTCAGCTGAAAAATATATGTGTATGTGGTCCTGAGTTGGATATGTGTCCAATAGTTTTCAAACGTCTGGAGTCTGAACGGTCGTATCTCATTTTATTCGACTCTCAGATCATTAACATGAGAGATTAGTTTTAATTCTGCAATGAAGAAGCCAAATGCATTACATTCAGACAATGGCTGAAGCTAGCAATGCCAACACTCAGCTTTCTTCTTTCTTAGTTTCCTTCATTTACGTATGTTTCTGTGATGATATTCTCATGTTTATGATCAGTTCATAGACAGCTGCATCTATTATTACATCTGTGAACAGTACGCGGCTGTGTGACGTCTATGTTCTTATTCTGTGCATGTGGGTAGTTTTAGGGTCATAAAATGTTCACACAAAAGTCTGATTGAGGCCGCATTTAATTAGCAGTATGAAGAACAATTACACACAGAGACACACAACAAAAACATGCACAAAAAACAGATTCAGCAAAACTCAGAACTGAGCATCAAAACTTGTTGCAAATGCAGTTTTATCAGCAAGAGTTACATATTCTAATGGAGATACTTAAAATTAGTTGTTTATTTGTAGCATGGCCCAGTCAAAGTCTAGGATAGTCTATAAATTGCTGTTCATAGATGCTTGTTATTCAATCATATTGAGCCGAACCTTCTTAGGAAAGAAGAGCAGGCAAAAATGTAAGTCTCCACGTGCGCAAAACTGACAAACATCAAAAATTCCCAGCTAACAATTTCTGCCTTCTTCACAATTATGTGTTGCTTCCCAAAATTCCAAAGACATAATTTATAATTGCAATCTAACAAATGCTAGAGATATGAGTGCTTACACTGTATGCAACAAGCTGAAAAGAAAAAAACTACAGTAGTTTTACAAATATTGGTGGTGAAAATGTACTTTTAATCCATGCCTACTTTATTCAACTTAAAATTTTAAAACCTAAATGAATAGGGTCAAAACATAACTTTAGCAAGCAACGTCAAATAGGATAGAAAAGATATTTGAAAATGAAATAATTCTGTAAAATGGGTTTTGAAAAGAGTGCAACATAATTTGTGAGGTGGTTTGTTGACTTGTAGGGCGTATTAGTCTGAGAAAGTGCAGCTGCAGTCCTTGCTGTATCTTCATTTTCGGCTCATTAGCCACTGCCCTACCGAGGCTTTGCAAAACTCATGCAAAGCAGTCTTGCAAGGAAACAGAAAAATAGAGGCCAATCCGTAATATTAGGCTTCATCCTCTGCCTAGAAGCAACATATCCACATGTGCTTTTGCATCTTTATAAATGTAGTTCCAAATAATGGAGTTAGAAAAAGCACTGCAATGCAGGGACACTTTTATCTCTCAGACACAGAAATCAGAGGGATGCTTCACAAAACGAACTCTTCCATAACCAATCATTTTCACCGTAAACATTCATTAAGCCATAACACTGGAAAGAAATGGAGCAATTCTGAAATAAAAATAATGTGAATCACAATAAAGAAAATAGCTTTGTGGCGTGTTGGCATAATGACTTTTGGAGCCAGAGAAAGAAAAGATGGGACAAACATCAAAGTTTAACATGAGCTGTAAAAAGCCTGTGTGCAATCACAGGGAATGTTGTTTTTTTTTTCTCTTTCAAGAGAACTTCATCTAATGAAGCTTCTTGCTGAACCTTCATTTGCCAAGATATCCATATTAACATATTTTGGTTTGAACAATCAAAGTTTTGATACTCAAAATAAATCTTGCTTTTGTTGGTAGTCTCTGAAGTTCCTCTGAAAACTTCCCATAAATCTCAAAATATAAGTCAACATCTAAGAAGCTGAGAAGTTCATACCTCTGGGCTAATGAAAGAGTTAATATGTGGTGATGTCTTTCTCTTCAGGGAAGTGGGAATAACTCTTTCTTTTTACATTGGTAATATGAAAGAACAACTGAAAGCCAGATGATTATTTCTACAGAACACTGTATGTGTTAAAGGGAAATCATGGACTCTATAGTGTTTATAGTCAATTTATTTTTCAATTAAAAAATTTCACACCACTGAGAGATGGATCACAAAACAGATTCAACTCTGAAAACTTGAAAGTTCCCATGTGGCTTTGCTAAAATATATTTTCAATGCACTCTCTTCAGGGTTGTAATCTTGTAGGATTACTTCTAGAGCTTTTAAATAGTTTTGTACTCTTACTAACAAAGTTGCAGAACACAATTGTCATCTCCCAAAAAAGCTAATTTAGTTTATATGCATTAAAGGCCTAGAGTTTATTTTATTATTAGACTCTCAAATTACTTTGTCCCTTCAGACCTACCTGACGATTTGACAGTATACTTCTGTCTTTGTCAGCGGTGTCAAAGCTGTTGTTCTCCAGGTTTGCACTGCCCCGGTGTAAACCCATCAACAATGACGAGCAGACACCGCCTCCTGCTGCTGGCTTACTGATGGAGGACAATTATCATCCTTCCACTGCAATCACATGGAACAAAGTGATCCAGGCAAAAAATGACTAAATAGGTCCTTGTTGAACATTTGCTACAGTACCAGCACTCCATCTTTAAAGGTTCTCTCAACCTGAATGCAAACTAGGGTGACCAGATCTGAGCACGTTGTTCTAGCAGACTGAAAGCTGGTGTTTTAAGCTCTATCCAGCAATTGCACAATTTTTCAAATACATAAATAAAATATTTATTTTTCACTTTTTTAATTTGGAGTGGAACCCCACCCCTTCACCAACCCTTTCCTTGCAGGGCAGCTTGTACATACCTCCAACAGCCAATGGGAAGAGGTGTGCTACACACTTATTGCAAAGAGGTTTTATTACAAGTAACCCAAAGTGAAAGACATTTTCAATAAATGACTATAATGAGTAATAACTGTTTTTAAAGCTGTTTCTGTCGTCTGTTTGTACTGCGTTGTTTGACAGCTAATTAGTATTGTTTGTCGTTTAACCCACAGTAGTTTGGACCCTAACTGTCTGTCTGTGAAATTGTGGGATGTTAAATGAAAAATTTGGAAATAACTGCCTTAAGTGATTAAATCCATTAAAAGAAATGTGATTCAGAAAATTTTTTTCCTAAACTGGAGGAGGTCTGATACAAATTTGATCACTTGCCTCTAGCTGTCCGATGCTCTCTAACAAAGTTGGTGAGAACACTTGCACCCATT